ATAGAGCCTGCCTAGCACGAACAAGGCCCTGCGTTCTGGTGCCAGCAACACACACACACACACACACACACACACACACACACTCACACACAAAAAAAAAAAGACAGAAAAAGACTACTTCTCCATCCAAAGATGACACGGAACAAATGCAGGCTAGAGACAAGTTACCTCAAACTCCATCTCTCCATAGAGATTTTATGTAAAACTCTGACACAGAAGGCTGGTATTGGAGCAGTCCTGGGGTCCAGGAGCATGGCAAACAAACAAACCAATAAATGGAATAAAAGTTGATCTAAATCTGGGCAAAGGATGAAGAAGCCCAGTACGCTGCCATTTCCAGCACCCTCATCTGGTCCCTTGGAGAAATGAATCAAGGTAGCATGTGTTTTCTCTACCCCACTTCCTCTTGGGTCCCAGCAGGGGTCCTACCCTATAGCCACACTGAGACTGTTCTTTGAACCCCAAAAGCTGACCTGTGAGAATCTGGCAACTTGGAACTCACACCAAGAAACTCCATGGACTGACTGGCTCTCCCCAAGCAAAGTGCCCCTTAGCACTCACACACAGAGCCTGTCCCTCCCTTCCACAGATGGTGGCGAGATAAATAAGTGTCCACTCTCCTCAAACATTCCACCACCCACCGCAGGCAGGAATCTCCCCCTGACTGTCTCACTCTGACTGTGGCTGAAGAAGTCTCTTCACAGTTGTTCCAAGGGACCCAAGGCTGCTGTCTCCGTACCCAGAGCTCTGCCCAACATCACCTCGAATCAACTACGATTTGGGGCTCAATGCCAAGGTGGAGGGCAGCCAGGTTGGAGGGCAGCCAGGAAGAAACAGCACTAGTCTTTCATCCTGGCCAGGGCAACTTGTGAAGCCATCCTGGGGGCTCCAGAGGAAGGGGAAGGCACGGTCCTGGCCCGGTGAGCCTGTCGGGAACTTGACAGAAGGCAGCCAGACACAAGATCTTTGCTAGTGCTAGTAAGACACAGGACAGAGAGCTCAGCCAAATAATGGGTCCTCCCGCTCAGGTTTCACTCTGAGTCAACAGCCCCCTTAGGCAGAGAGCCCCACCCCAGGGCCCACCCAATGTGTCATCCACCCCTCCCCAGTGCCCTCTGCACTGGCCCCAACATTCAACCGGATATGCAATCCCAACCCCCAGGAGGGTCACCCTGGCCTTAGCACAGCTCCCATTTCCTGCCCCTGTGACTCCTCTGAAGTCTATTGTTCCCATTGAGTTTGGGTCAGAGGAAGTTGGGTCCCCACCCATGGGGGGCCAGCCTGCCCACCCAGACTGAGGAGCTGGTCCGCACCAGGGAGCTGGCCCATCCTCCTACCTTGCTGGAAGCTGGCCTGTTTTACAAGCAAACAGACGGGCACAGATCTTGGCCTGAAGTTCTGGTGGGAAATTTCCCACGGATCCCGTCCCACCAGCCGGGAGCCCCGGGACAGCCCGCACAGGTGTGATTAGGCTGGCGCTCCAAGTTCAACCTTAAAGACAGCACAGAGAGGAAAAACTGTCGTTTCAGAAAGGGTCACAGCGACTCTGGGGATGGAGGCTCCATGCTCCCAGCCAGGCACATCGCCCTACCCCAGCCTCCACCTGGGCCCCTGAGCTGGTGACACCCCCGCCCTCAGGGTGCTGGGGAGCAGCTGTTCAGCTCCGATTTCAGAGCTTTAAACAGAGCTGTGTTCCCGCTTCTGCCAACGAAGGGTCAAGGGGGCAAGGAAGCAAAGCCACCCTCTGGAGCCCTGGATTTCCAACTTGCCACCAGACCGGCATCAACTACAGGAAGGGCGAGGTCCAAAGTCAGGGACCCATGTCTTCTGCCTCCCCTGAGGAGGAGGAGGAGGAGACACAAACGTTTGGCAATAGGTATTGCTTTGTGACCGTCACCGGCACAAGACTGCAGAATGGAGGCCAAAGGAGGCTGTGACATTGGCATCCTGGGTGATGGAGAAGATAGAGCCAGGGGTGAAGCCCAAACTTGAGGCTCTAGGTTCATCCCTAGAATGAAAAGGCAAAACGACAGAGTGGATGGATACATACATACACACGTGCACACGTACGTACATGCATACATCATACATACATAGACAGATGATTCATACATACATGTATACACGTGCACATACAGACCACCCTCCCCCGCACCTGGCAGAGTAATACCTAGACCGTTAGAGGAAGGAGGAGGGAGGGGTCCTCCTCTCCTGAGGTCCTCCCAGACTGACATGCTTATATCCTACCAGGAAGTAGACAATTGTATACTTTCTGCTGGGATGCAGACGAAAAGGCCCGCCTGCCACCATCTATCTCTATCTGTACAAGATGGTGGACACCACCTGAGTCAGACCGTTACAGTCTGCACACCCGTTAGATGAAAGTGGCTAGGGTCCGGGGGCCCTGATACCGGGCTCCACAAAGCAGGAGACAGAATTCAAAGTGAAGAGGGTGAAGAGCTTGGGTTCCAGTCCCAACTCTGCCTCTTAGAGCTTGTGCAATTCGAAACATTTTATGGTCCCTCTCGAGGACTCAGTCCATCCCTCCCCCGAACCCAGAGGGGCTGGACATTGGCAGAGAATCCGACAGAGCTCAGCAAATCCACACCGAGGGCAAGGCAAAAATTGAAATGAGAATATGGGAACCGGAGAACAGAACCATGTTGCCTGGCAGCAAAGGAAGGCCTCCCCATGGCACGAGAGAGCAAAGGCTCAATTCACCTTGGCAAAATAAACAGGATGAACATGGTGAGGTTTCACAAAGGGTGTGCAGAGAAACAATCACTCCAAATCCTCTAGTCTCACCTGCTGTGACCCTGGATTCAATCAGCATCGTGGAAGAGGAAGGGAGGGAGGGTTCTTGCCAAAGCAAGCTTAGGAAAACAGAGGATACACCATCTCTAAGGGCCCTGGCTTCTGCCAACAGGCGATCTTCCAGCACTGAGTTTTCAGAGCAAGCTTTCTGCACAGGTATTATCTAGCCGTGCTCCCCCAAATCCACTCATCAGAAAACAGAGCCCCAAAGCCTTAAAGACCGTGAGTATCAAGATCTGTGCCCAAACTGGGCGTAGTGGCACACACCTTTAATCCCAGCACTCCAGAGGCAGAGATAGGTAGATGGCTGTGAGTTCGAGGCCAGCCTGGTCTACAAAGTGAGTCCGGGATAGCTGGGGCGACAGAGATACCATGTCTTGAAAAAAGAAAAGAAAGAAAGATACTATGCCTGGATCTGTCTGACCCCACGCCAGTGGATTCTTACCCCATGAGAGGAGCTTTGGTGGATCAGCGGCACACGTGGCCTGAGCAGTTAGGAATACGAGGTATTTCCCAGCAGACTATCTAATCTACATCAGCAGGAGAGGAGGAAAGACAAACACCAGAGCCCCCACTCTTGACACAGTTTTCTGTTCCTTCCTTCCGAGAAACCCTAGTCGTCATCTCTGGGTTGTGTTAATGAGGGAGAACTCTGACTGCCAAGTCTGTCTGTGACTCTCACACCACTCTCCTGTCAATATATCCTAGACACGGCTAACAAGTCCGAGGCAGCCCTAGCCTTCCCGAGTCACTAAAGCAGCAGAGGAGGAAACAACAGAAACACGGTAGAGCAGTAAACTGTGACGATGAGGGATCTGTGATGATGAGGCAGACACTCTGGAAGCTGAGGCAGGAGATCACTCAGTTTGAACCCAGCCTGGGTAACAGAGCAAGACCCTGGCTGTTAAGGAATGAGAGATCTTTCTCCCCTCGCTGCATCAAGGAGAGGCGAACGAGCCCTGAGAAGCGGTCTAGGCTGGTGGACACTCCTGTCCTCAAGACTACCTTACAAACACTATCCAACATGGTCACCTAAGCCCAGTGACTCAAGCCTGTAATCCCGACACTTAGAAGGGTGAGGTAGGTGGACTGCTGTGCGTTCAAGGCCAGCTTGGTCTTCTGAGTCTGAGGCAGGAGGATGAAAGCCAACTTCTAAGGTAGGAGTAACCAGGCCAGCCTAGATTATGAGACTTCTATCTGAAAAGCAAACAACCTAACAGGTTCTCTTCCTTTTCAGGGAGTCCATTCCCAACAACCCATCCTACCCCCTAAGGGCAAAGATCTCAGCCTTGCAGCGGCTCTCTAAATCACCCCAGCACAACAGGATCCACTCTCCCTCAGAAAGACAGCTGCCTGCAAGGGGGGCAAGTGTAGGCAGCTTCCTGCCAGCTCTGCCCAACCCAGCAAGGATGGAGTGGGGGGGCGGGCGGAGAGACACCTCCAACCACTACTGTCAAACTCCCGCGTCACACAAAGAACTGTCCCAGCTCCGGTTCTGCAGGAAGAAGTCGGAGCCAGAACCAACATCCTCCAGCAAGGACAGTCTCGGGGAAGAGGCATCATCACACACCCACTCCGACACTGACACTCGGGGTTTCAGACAGCAGCGCCGGCAATGCACTCACTGGCACTCACTGTCACGTTCGGCACAAATACACCTACGGAGAGCAAGGTGCGTCACAGCGCGCAGATATCTCTCCCTCAGGTCCACCCAAAACTTAGGGATGCCGGCGCAGTTATACCTTGCTTGAACTCACTCACAGAATCGAACGGTGGGTGTGCCTGGAACCCCTGACACGTGCGTATGCGTGTGTGTGTGTGTGTGTGTGTGTGTGTGTGTGGTCCGCGGCGCTTCCCTGGGCTGTCTGCTAGGGTTACAGTGCCTTGGAGTTTGGAGGGGGAACTTTCGTCCATCCCTCCTCACCGTGAGAAACAACCCTGCACAAGGTCCGAGCCACACGCCTCCGGTCCGAGCCACACGCCTCCCTCCTGAGCTCTCTTCTCCAGGCCGATAAGTAGAAAGGGGCCTGGTTGAGGCTCTTAAGTCTCCAGTTTCTAAAACGTGAGCCAGGAGACACTGCTCTGCCCAGCCCCTGAACTCCACCCCCCGCACGTGCCCCGCCGGTCCCCTAGTGCCGCCCGGGACCACGCGGGACGCGGATGTCGACCGCATCCGGCAGCCTTACCGATCCCAGGGTTCGGGAGGCGGGGTGGGAGCGATCGGCCGGCTGCAGCAGGTCCGCCCGGGGCGCCAAGTCTTCCAGCCGCGGCGACGGCTGCGGGGCCGGAGCGCGGAGCTGCGGCGGTCCCCACCCCCGGGGGCCGGAGTTTGCAAGAGGAGCCCGGCAGGAATGCGCGGAATGGGCGCTGGAATGAGACGCGCGCGGCCGGGGAGGGAGCGGAGGGAGTGGCGCTGCCACCCGCACGTCGGGGAGGAGACCAGGCCGGAGAAAGGGGCTGGGCTGCGCGGCGGCGGGGCGGAGCCCGGGAGGAGATCGCGGGCGGCCACGGGACCCGGAGACTCCCGGGGACCCCGCGTCGCCCCCCGCCGCGCGCGCCCCCGCGCCCTGACCCGGGTCTAGCGATCTCCCGCTCTCCTCCAGTCCCCCGCGCCCCCGGGGGGCGCTGAGCCCCAGCCGTGCCCCCCTGCACCACCACCTCCGGCTGAACACCGTCCCCTCCGCCGGGGTGGGGCGCGCCTCGCTGCGCTCCTGGAAGGACGCGGACGGCGGCAGGAAGGGCTGTTCCCTTCCCCGAGGCGGCTACCGAGGACACTCGCTCCGGGAGCAGGAAGCAGGAACTCCCGGCCCTGCTCCCAGATCCGCCACCGCTTGCCCTCTCCAGCCCTCCCCAGCACCGGCCCTTTCAGTTCTCTCCGCGTCCCTCGGGATCCGTAGAACTGTCACTTCTCAAGAGAGCCGGGAAGACACGGGAGACCCGCCACGGACTCGGTTGTAACTCCGTGAACAGGAGTTGGGACTTAGCCGGTGGCCCGGGGCACCGGCACAGCGTCGCCATGAAGCTGAAAGTCTGCGGTTTAATTAAGCGTGCCAAATCAACAGCAGAAACACGTGGGCTCGGGCTGGGAATCTTTAGGACAGTTTGGCTTAAAGCAGTTAAGTTAGTTAGTACTCCAGCACCCACCTGGTCGCTTTGAGACACTTAAAACTGAAGAAGAGACTTGGCCGTTTCCAATAAAAATAGAACAGTCTCTGAAGCATCATCATTTAATTTTTATTGCCGTGGCTCTCCCCTTTTATTTTCCCCCAACATTAACAACACAGGTTGGATAATAAATGAGGGGAAGGGTAGCATGGGAGATGCTGAAAGAGAAGGTGTTATAAATGCCAGGGTTGTAGCCAAGGGAGGCGTGTAGAAGAGTCTGCGGAAACGCCAGCATCACGGGACGTCGAATCCAGCCTTACACAGCGAGGACTTTGAAGGAAGCAGCCCTCATTTGGATATATAAATTCTGGCATGCTTATTAAATCGTGAGTCATATCAAAGCTCGGTCACGTCCCACTTACATGAAAAGAGCAACACGAGGCAGCGTGTGCGTGAGTGTGAGGTACAAACTGTCCCACCACTTTGTTCAACAGGCCTTTGTTGAGCATTTGTTGACTCTGGCAGCAACCTAGGCGCAGAGACGGGCTCCCGCCTTCAAGAGGTTGAGCGTTGTGGCAAGGCAGCAGCTCAATAACGTAAAATCCACGTGTGTTCCAGAACAAAGACAATGAAACTCAAGGCAAGAAGGTGTGTGTGTGTGTGTGAGAGAGAGAGAAAGACATTTTTCAGCGTGATGTTTACTCCTAGCTTTGTATGTGCTACCACCGCGCTGTGGCCCCAGCTCTAATTTGTTCTGGTGTCTGAGACTGGCCTGTTGAGTTACTCAGGCTGACCTTGAAACACTAGGCCTGGCGTGCCTCGAACTGGCCGGCTCCTTCTGCCTCAGCCTTGGGAATAGCTGCAATAGACAGTAAAGGTCTTTGCTACCGGGTCTGTGGGGCGACCTTGATCCAGCTCTTGAACAAAACAGGAGTTTACCAACTGGTGTTTCAGGAAGGGTTAATGTGAAAAGGAAGAGCAACACACACCTGAAATCCCAGCTGAAGGGAGGATGAAGTCGGAACGAAAGCCCGGCAGGTGCCGAAGAATAAGAGGAGTAGCGATGCGGACTGTGAGTTTCCGGTAAGCTATGCTGAAGATGTCGCGGTCAAGGCTATGCACACCCAGCTGTGACTTTCTCTCATTAGACGCTCTGACAAGTCTTGAATGTTCTATGGAGACTAAATGCAAGCAGTGACCCTGTGACCGAACAGAGACTCAAGACCTGGAAATGAAGGCAAATCCATGTGTGATCTGTGCATAGAGACTGTCCTTGAAGCTGAGAGAGAGAACTATCCCCGCCGGACAGCTGACCGTGTCACAGCTGGAGTAAGAGATCTGGCCAGCTGTGATGTGCTCCTGGTAGTCAGGAGCTGAGAAAGATAAAGCAAGAAGATCAAGCGCTCAAAGACAGCCTGGACTATGCTGCCAAACTCTGTCTCAAAAACAAACATAATTGATTAATTTGAACAACAGGGAATTAGAATAATGTGGACGGGGGCCTCTGGCCTGAACAATGTGGGGCGCAGGCAGGAGGATTGCCCTTCACGGACAGCAAGAGCACGCTTGGAGAGCCCTCTGCTTGCTTGCTTCTCTTGGAGGTCATGGGGGATCCAGGCTGGAAAAGTTTATCTTCTCAGTTCCTGGTTCATACTCTTACAAGCTTCCAGAGAGTTTTAGGTCTTTGGGAGTTCCACTTTCTGAGCAGATGAGGACCATTTCAGAAGACTTTCTGTTAAAAATAAAAAAATAAAATAAAAAATCAGGTGCGCTCATTCTGCAGGGCTGGTGGCTGGCAGTGATTTTTTTATTTTTTATTGGTGTGTATGTGTGTGTGTGTGTGTGTGTGTGTGTGTGTGTGTGTGCCTGCATGCACACAGGTACCACTCTAGGCCAGAGGGTGTCAACTTCCCCAGAAGCTGGAGTCACAAGTGATGGTGTGAGCTGCCTGATGTGGGTGCTGGGAGCCAAACTTAGGTCTTCTACAAGACCACTAAATAACCACTGGTCCGTTTTCCCATCCCCCCCCCCCCCGACAGTGACTTGACAGAGGCAGTCTGCCCTACCCTGCCCAGGTGTGTTCAGAATGTTTAAGGGAGAGGACCTCCATCCACTGAGCCTCCAGAATGCTGGTGGGAAGGTTTTACAGCACCCAGCTGGCAGACACAGAGCCCCTCCAATTACATCACATGGCCCATGGCTTGCTCATTTCCTTGAGCTCCAACCCGCTGCAGTCCAGCAACTGGGTGGAGGCCAAGGCAAGGTGGTTGTGGTCGGAGCTGGTTTTGATGTGGGGAGGGTACTGGTGTTGATCAGGCCCAAGTCAAACTTAAAAAACCACATTAATCAGTGTTACCATATGCTGTTTGGTATTATTTCCATTCCTGTAATAAACTTTGTTTTTCTTACCCACATGGGTCATAATCAAAATATCCAGAGGATTCTTTTGTTGAACAATTTCACTCACATTTGTGTGACGGATTGGGTTGAAGCTGCAGGTGACAGAGGGTTGTTTAAAATTTGTACTAGTTCCCTTATTCTTTTGTCTGGTGCTGGGAATCAAACCCAGGGCCTCACACATGCTCCAACACAGAACTGCACTTCAGCTCCAGCGCTGTGATATCTTAGATTAACCAGACGTCCAGGATTTTCTACAAGGACTTGCCAGAAAGATGAAAGTAGGCAGGCAAAAAACCAAAAACTTCCCCTTTTCAATATACTCATATAGGCTTCCAGCAGAAGGCCTGGCCTTAGAGATGCTTCTTGCCATTCCAAATACCCAGATTAGAAGTAGATCTAATCATAGGCATGGTGATGCACACCTCTAGTCCCTAAATCTTCCAAGACAGAAGCGGCAGTGATGTCTGTGGCCTGGTGAACATCCAGCCAAGGGGCTGAATTTTAATTTAACGGCACTGGTGGCGCACGCCTTTGATCCTGGTACTCAGAAGGCAGGGGCAGGCACATCTCTGTAAAGTTAAGGCCAGCCTGGTCTGGTCTGCACAAGCTCTGAGTTCAATGGAGAAGAAAATCCCTCACACCTGTGCCCCATCTTTGAGTTTTATTTAATTCCAGATATAATCAAGTTGACAATCAAGAATAGCCATCGCAAGCAACTGAATCAGCTCCTAGGATTTTTTTTTCATGGCTCAGCAGCCAGCTCACAACTACTCATCCAGCTCCAGGGAGATCTAACACTCCTAGATATCACTCTCCCTCTCTCTGTCTCTCTGTCTCTCTGTCTCTCTCTCTCTCACACACACACACACACACACAGGCTTGCAGGGATGAGGGTACAGATCGGTGGTCTTGGGTATGCCTAATTCGCTCAAGGCTGAAGATACCATCCCCAGAACGGAAAATAAATAAATAAAATCAATAAGGTCTGGGCAAACCACCCTGACACCGGGCAGGTTCTGATGGTTGAATTGTATCCGTTCCTTGTGTGTTGAAGAGCTAATCTCCCACACCTCACAATGCGACAGTGTTTGGAGGTCAAATTCTTTGAAGAAATAACTAAACACCAGGCATAGTGATTCACACTTGTAATCACAGTGCTCCAGGGGCCGAGGCAGATGGATTGCCATGAGTTTGAGGTCAGCGTGGACTATAGAAGGAATTCCAGGCCAGCCTGGAGGATAGAGTGAGACCCTGTTTCAGAAAGAAACAGCATGTGGGCCCGAGAGATATCAAAGCAGTTAAGAGCGCTTGTTGCTCTTGCAGAAGATGGAGGCTGAGTGCCGAGCATAGTGGCTTAGGACCATGTGGAACTGCCATTTCAGGAAGGAGTTCCAGACGCCCTCTTCTGGCCGTCTTGGGCATTGCAGGCACAAGGTGCACAGATACACATACATGCAGGCAAACACTCCAGACATGTAAGTTTTTGTTTGTTTTTAAGACAGGGTTTCTCCTTGTAACCCTGGATGTCGTGGAACTCACTTTATAGACCATGCTGGCCCGGAACTCAGAGATCTACCTGCCTTTGCCTCCTGAGTGCTAGAATTAAAGCTGTGTGCCAACACTGCCCAGCAAGTTATTTTTTTTAATTTATTTAATTACATTTGTTTGTTTATTGTGTACATGGAGGCCAGAAGACAACTTCCGGGCTTCTCTCAGGGATGGAAATCGTGTTATGAAGTTGATTGTCTTTATGGCTGGAAACAACCTAGGTTGGGCTGGCTCTGCCTCCTAGGTAATTAACGGCGACCCCCACCTCCACCTTCTGAGTTCTGAGAATGCAGGCTTGTCCTACCGGTCTCCTTGAACGTGTATGGCTTCCTTGGCCCTGTGATAGCTAAGAACTAGAAAATCCATCTTCCCTGCCTCTCCGGCTACTGACAGCCTAGTGGATCCTCCGCCAGCAACACCTCCAGCTTCCGGAGACTTAGTAAGAAGACAGGTTGGCGTGGAAATCAAAAGTCAGCCTGTCTGTGGCCCGGTGACCCTCCGGGCCTCGTACTCTCAGCACCTGGGGGGTGGGATACGGTGGAGGCTGCAGGGTCAATGATGCAAGCTCAAACGTGTTTCATTGGGGACTCCAAGGACAGCTACGGATCTCCGAGATCCTGTGTCAGAAAACCGCAACGAACAAGTAAATACATAAATCGTATAGAAAAGGGAAAGAGAAACCTCAAAAGGAAACAAAACAAACAAACAAACAAACAAAAAACCAGAAACTGTACGTAGTAACTCCCTCACTAGATTAGCATGGAGCCTAAGCAGTATGAGGAAGAAAGACAAGATCTCCCTTTATAGCCCAAGCAGTAAACTCCTGAGCCTTCTTCCTCAGTCTACCCAGGGTTAGGACTAACGCGAGAGCCACCTCACCCAGCAGGATATCTGCTGATAAGGAAATAAGCCACAGAGGCAAGCAAACAGCAGGCCGGCCAGGTTTGGCGCACAAAGGGTGGAAA